AGAGAGAGAGAGAGAGAGAGAGAGAGAGAGAGAGAGAGAGAGAGAGAGAGAGAGAGAGAGAGAGAGAATTCAACTACGACATGAACGATGTACACCACGTCATCAAGTCACGGTGTTAACTATTCCCCTAAATACATATGTAACTTGCCCTGAACCCGATAAAATTACAAACAGTTAGCAACAACGAAAACTATAGAACTATGCTTGGTACGGTACTAACTATGCTAGTTTATGAATGCCATTAGTTGAGATACAAGATGATTCAGTTTTCCAAAGCCGGTAGGGATTTATTTTATTCTTTCACTATTTAAATGTCTAATATATAAAGGTCGATGGCTATAAAACTTTTAAACGACGTACAAAGCACTGCGTCACGTCGTGGCGAGTGTTGCTTCATGCTTAAATGGGCCCGCACCTGTTGACTGCGAAAAGACCCACTGACCGACTCCTGACATATATCAACATTTTAATATTAAGTTCACATGACCGCGAAAACAATATAAATTGTGGATTATAATTAATAATTAGCAAGACCGAGTAAACTAACTTCTGTAACGTATAAACACGTAATTTATTTCCAACTAAACACTTGTTTGTTTATATACTCGCATCAGTAGTGAATAGTTTAAATAGTGCGTTGCGTATAGGCGAAAGTGTATGTAAGTATGTTTCCATTTTGATTTAATATTTTGTCACGGACATAATTTAGTGAATGAAGATGTTAAAATCCCATTGTTCAGTTGAATACTGACCGCATATGTTGGCGGGTGATGTTCATTACCGAGGATTAGTCCTCCTTGTCCATACCGTGGTGATATAATTTGATAAATTCCTAAAAGTCGTGGATAACGTCTTTCAAAAGGAGTGATTTGTATTACATGTTTGATTGTCGGTGGAATTTAAACTATCAGATATGGTCAACCTGTACTTACCGCCGTTGAGGTCACCTTTCAAGACTGTAAACGTCATTGACTTACCTTTTATTTATTGTTTATAAAGTACCAGAATGTAACAATCAGTCTCCATGTAAATGGTTAAGGAGTAAATATATATCGGCTAAGACACGTGTAAGTATTAAAATAACTATACTATAATTTACTCACCAAGAATGTACATATGTCATAAGGCTGATAACATTATTATCTTGAACTTTGAAATACTGACCTTTGTTATAAGGATATATGCGTCTCATAGTTTTGTATATCTCCCCAGGTGTCGCCATAGTAACTCGCGATTTACAGGTTTAATCCAAATATCGATTATATCATTTCTATATGTCCATGTGTTTATGGATAATGAGACCGGCTTGTTGATAATTACTACTCCCGTGTCAAGACCGTGCAACGTCTGAACAACCGAGCCGTCTGATCACCTCAGGCTGAATCTTTTCGATTTAATAAAATAGTCGTAATTAATTTACCTGGATGAATAAACTGTTCCTAATTCGTCGAAATTTCCCCGGGCAGTGGGTCTATTGTGTTTTGATTTTCGCTTCTCGAAGAACGTATAAAGTCACTTCGTTTTATTACTTTTTTTGGCGTTTCTATGGTGAATATAGTTGTGTAAATCGTTTGCATTGTCTGCGTGATCAGCGCTTACTGGATACAATGATTGACCTTAAAACGGTTGAGTGATAAGTCTCAACAGATCAAGCGTCCCACAAAGGGTTTTTTGTGCACATAACGGAAGGTAACACAATAAAATGAACTGGTATTTTTTTAATTAAAAACATGTATATATTTGACTATCGCATACTTGCTAAGCGTTTGTGTCTACGCTTTCATACTGGTGTCAGAGTATAACATCTGTCTATATTACGTACGCAGTCCGGTACGCAGTCATCATGGGTACGCATTTCGACTATGAGTGCGCCATCTCGCGTCAGCTATAGATTCACGTTTTTTTAAATGGCCGCCTCCTGTCATTGAGAAGTGTCAGCGACTGGGTAGAGTTTTTTTTTGGATTTCCTAGACCATGGGCATCCTATGCAACTCCGACACTGTTAGAAGCCTCAAGGAACACACGAAGAGACTTCTTTGTTTTGTTAATTACTACAAATGGCTATCGGATGCTTATGTGGTAGAGTTTTTTGTTAAAGACCACTGGAACACTATCCCTAAACAATGGCAAGACGTGCTGCAAGATCTGGAAATAGATGTAATGGGATCACTGTTGATGCAGTCCCCGAAAGCGGAGACGTCTTTCTGTAAGGTGTGGCCTTTGTCTTTACTGGCCTATCGCAGCGCAGCCCATGCACTGGCACTGAGCAGAACGCCGCGCGATACAGACGACGAAATACAACACGTGCTGAAGAAAACAAAGCCTTGTTATGAACCACTACCTCATCACTACCGACGACACGTAAAACCAAAGAAACAGTACGAGATAAGCCGATTAGCTAAACTCATCTACGGGGTATCTGAGCAAGTTCTCTGTAAAAACCTCGTAGATGTGGGATCTGGACAAGGACACTTGACAAGGCTTTTATCGTTCGGTTATGGGCTCAATATAACAACGGTTGAGGCAGAAGGGTGTCACATCAGTGGAGCAAATAAATACGACAGGAAATTGAAAAAGTTTATTGATCTAAAGACTATTGAGAACCCAAGTAAGTTGAAAGGCATCAAGCAAAGTGAGGCGATAGAATCGCTTGTTCCCAGTCATGTTATATATCGCATTGATCCTTCTATTGCCGTTGATAACTTCTTGACTCTAATCTCAGAAAATAAAAATTCAATGCTCGCGAATGGAACAGCACAACAGAAAGGAACGCCTGATTTGTCAGATATCAACGATGCATTGCAATGTGTTAGCAGTGACTTAGATAATGAAAAGAATAGTGCTGCAGGACACAGTGAAAAACAGAATGATAAGTTTGTTTTTGCTGGGTTACACACCTGTGGAGACTTGGGACCAACAATGTTAAGAGTTTTCACAAAATGTTTAAATGCCAAGGCATTGGTATCTGTTGGATGCTGCTATTCAAAAATGACCTGCAAGACCGTACAACCTGCACAACCTCCCCATCGTGGGAAATCATGTACACACAGTGACTGTATAGATGAAGTGAAAACACAAAGAATAGGGGGGGATGACCCAACTATCAGCCAACCTGTAGGGTTCCCCATGAGTTGTTGGCTGGAAAGTATCCCAAATCATGAACTAAATTATGAGCCCAGAGAGTTAGCGTGCCATTCTGTAGACATATACTGTCAACGATTACGTGATGAAGATCCTAATATAATACTACAGTCTTACCGCGCCATATTGGAAATAGTTATCCAGAAACAAGCACCCGACTTAACACAACATCATTCTGGGGTCAGACATATTAAAAAAACAATGCATAATATTAAAAAGGGTCATGATATGCCCCTTGAAAGCTATATATCCGATGCTTTGAGAAAATTGGGCATTCCACCAATTTCGTTTGCTGAATTTAAAGATTTGAGGGAGTGTTTGACGAGATGGAAACAACATATAGCATTTCATATTTTGAGATCGTTAACTGCTCCTGTCATAGAATCACTTATTTTAATTGATAGGATGATATATTTACATGAACAGGGCATTGACAGTGAACTTATTCCATTGTTTGATCCAAAACTTTCTCCAAGAAACTTTGTGCTAGTTGCTTTGAAAAACAATGAGTGAACAAGTTACAAATATAAAGTTTTCCTCAGATTGAGAATCTAATAATGATTCCTCCCCAAGAATGTTGTTTTTCAACCATAACTTGTACAATTTTATATTCGTCTAAACAAGTTTTACTTAAATATTCAACACAGTCAGAAAATGCATCATTTATTCATGGAATTGTGGGTAATTTATGATGTGCCTCTCTTTTTATGGAACTATTAGAAAGGCGACTCTTGGAGGCAATCATAAAATCTGATGAGAACTCTTCTGCAAGAATTGAGCACAGTTTTAATCTTCAAGTTGTTGAATCTGCTTCTTTTTAATGACAATTTATAATAAAATTTTCCATTTTGTCTACCACACATAAATCCAGTCAGTCGGTGTATACCATGAACATGCTATTCTGCTACTTAATAGTAATGCGGCTTCTAATACAGATTTTACGGTAGTTTGAGAATTGACTTTTTCCATGAGTATCCTCAAAGGTTTACCTCTCCAGTGTGAGGGTGCTGCAAATACATCATTGCGCATATCAAACTCTTGTGAGTTCGCAAATGGTGGGGTCAAACATCATAATGGCAGCTATATTGGAGTATGTAAATTAACTGAATTGCAACAGGCATTAATGTTCCAGTGAGAGTTATAATTATGAATGTTCCTGTTCTTCAATGTTGGATCTTACAAGGATGACAGTCACTGTGTTTTAATTATTTCATTCGTGGAAATATAGTTAGGTGAACTGTTATGGTGCGACTTTCAAATCAGTTTGAGATAATTTACTATTATGTTTCTCCATGTCATGTTCTGTGTGCTTTGATAAACCGATACTGTAGTGACCCTACCATATGCGCCCTCTTACTGTAGAAATGGAATTCAGTTTGTATTTTTATACATGTAATTTAATGTCGCTACTTCTTTACAGATTACTTGTGGATGTCTTTTATGAGAAGTTTATGATTTTTAAATAAAAGATTTATGAATGAATAAGGGATGACGTCAAAAGAATCTCAACACTCATCAGACCATTATAGTCTGCCCATTGATAACTACCCTTTGTTTTATGTTACTAATATACCGGTAGTATTTAAGCAAGTTATGCAATAGTCCAGTAATATAAGAAAATTGTAGCTTGTGTAATAACATTGGATCGCTCATAGAATTAAATGCCATATTGAAAATCTATAAATAAATAGTCAACTTGACTGCCAGCATTATTTTCCTGACTGATAAAGTCTAAGTAATAAATTAAATTTGTCACAGTGGACTGTCCAGCCAGGAAACAGAGGTGACAATCGCGGATGTGTTTAATGTGTATACCTCTCTTTTAGCCAATATATATTTTGTGTTATCCTACCAACACCATAAAAAAACCATGTGAATATGTTATACTACTTTTATGGGCTAAAACAGCTGTCATTTTAAAATGTTAATGGATCTTCATTTGTTTATAGACTAGCAGCACGAGAAGAATTTGTTTATCAAAAAAAATTAACCATATTCCTATATTTGCCCGACTGGCAACACCCCTCCATTCCTAGATTGGTCAGGATGGTACTACCCCTCCATTCCCAGATTGGCAACGATGGTACCATCCCTCCATTTCTAGATTTGCCAGACTGGTACTACCACTATATTCCTAGATTGGCCAGGATGGTACCATCCCTCCATTCCTAGATTGGTCAGGATGGTACCACCCCTCCATTCCCAGATTGACCACAATGGTACCATCCCTCCATTTCTAGATTGGCCAGGATTGTACCACCCCTCAATTTCTAGATTTGCCAGACTGGTACTACCACTATATTCCTAGATTGGCCAGACTGGTACCATCACTATATTCCTAGATTTGCCAGACTGGTACCACCACTATATTCCTAGATTGGCCAGACTGGTACCACCACAATATTCCTAGATTGGCCAGACTGGTACCACCACTATATTCCTAGATTGGCCAGACTGGTACCATCACTATATTCCTAGATTTGCCAGACTGGTACCACCACTATATTCCTAGATTGGCCAGACTGGTACCACCACAATATTCCTAGATTGGCCAGACTGGTACTACCACTATATTCCTAGATTGGCCAGACTGGTACCACCACTATATTCCTAGATTGGCCAGACCGGTACCATCACTATATTCCTAGATTTGCCAGACTGGTACCACCACTATATTCCTAGATTGGCCAGACTGGTACCACCACTATATTCCTAGATTGGCCAGACTGGTACCATCACTATATTCCTAGATTTGCCAGACTGGTACCACCACTATATTCCTAGATTGGCCAGACTGGTACCACCCCTCCATTCCCAGATTGGCCAGGAAGGTACCACCCTCCATTCCCAGATTGGCCAGAATGGTACCACCTCTTCATTCCTAGATTGGCCAGACTAGTCCCATCACTATATTCCTAGATTGGCCAGACTGGTACCACCACTATATTCCTAGATTGGCCAGGATATTACCACCCCTCCATTCAGTGAATATACTATTAGTACCTAGGTCAAAGAACCAACCACTGCGAACTGCCAACAACATACTTTGCATGTAACAGCCAATGAGATCCATATACGCAAGGCCTTAGGTCATCATCTCATATGAATCATTAACAAGTTTATCAACTTTCATGATGCAGTATCAGACAGGAACTTGACCATTTGATAGGCAAGTAAACTATCTTTCACAAAATAAACCTGCATAATTATTTCTGTATTTTCAAATACAATTTGATCAAGAAATGTATAAAAGCAGAAAATTTGGCCAAAAATGATAGAAAAATACATAAAAATGTGCCAAATATTGTACCACATTTTAGGTGGTAAAAATCAATAATTAAATTTTAGAATACTTTTTGTCATGCATTAAGTGACACATTAACTTCACTCCATACATTATCAACAGCATTCCGTAATGTCATGCAATCTAGCATTGCATCACATTGCACATAAAACAATAAACCAAAAAATTTACCACTCTTGCTATCAACAAATACCATCAAATTTGGGTAAAACATTCCTGATTTATGGTGGTTTATATTACAAAGCATGATTTTATTCAGAAAAAAACAATATATATCCTTGAGGTACACGGCTATAAGGGCATTATAAACCGGGGTACTGGTGGTCACCATGTAGAACTATATATTGATACATTTCTCAAATAGCAGACATTATTCAGTAATGATTTTTGCATTTATGTTCTGTTTGATAAAAATTATTAATACATCACATGAATATGTTTTTTCTGAAGCTTATCGAGCATGGAGCATTTTCAGTAAATAATAACATCAATGTATTCAAATTTATTATTACAAAACTATGGTGTTTACATGTTACCATAGGCTTACAGTGTATCATTAAAAGTACATGTGAAAGATTACTGACATACGATACAAAGAATAGAAAATATAGCTCAAAAGTGAAGAGTGGATAGGTATCCTATACATGCTAGCTCTACCCTTACTACAGTAATAACATTAAATCACCACAGTCATCATGCGGTGTGTATTTACCGAGTAAATGCATTTTACATGCGTTGTATAAGTTGCTATGGGTCCCACATTGAACATGACGTGGTGTGACGACTGTAGCGCTTTAATTTATTAGAGAGGTGATTTGTGTAGATAGTAGATGGAAATGTAAAATACAACATTTAAGTAAAATTTACAAGTGCTTTCTGTGGTGACTGAAGCTTTAATTGAGTGTTTAATTGCGGCGATGACTTTTATACCTAGTATTACTTTTAATATGGACTGTGGTGTCCTAGTAATCCATCAAAGCAATGAAAAACAACAAAGTTTTTAAAAAAGTCTACATATTTGGAATGGTTCTGTGTGATTCCAAAATTGTTTTTGTTTTTTTGTATTACAATTTTATTAAACTCCAGATATCTATCACAACTATATGTATAAAATCTGTCACAAGTAATGGTAGAAAGTCAAATTAGAATCTCATGGCTCCACCGAACCTCTTTAGCGTGAAATTGATATGTATGAATAAATCTAAAATATGGCAGGATTACACACTGTTAAAAGGAGAATCCTCACAGCAAGTACTTGTATTTAAATATTTAGATAAAATCGTAACATTCTATCTGCAGAAAATAATATTGCTATTTTCAAAAAAATGTATCAGCCATACGTTGAATTGAAAATGTTGTTTTACTGTGAAAAACAGCATTGTACATAAAACACTTAAGCAATGTATATAACATTTCCAGCATTGACTATAAAAAAAATCTGATATATTTACTCAGACAATTAGATGTTGTTGATAATGTGTATGGCAGCCACATGGCCAATCTAATATATTTCTGCCAATTTATCATATGCTCTATTAGTAATGCATGTGCTTTTGTATATGACAGAGGAATGTCTATGGTCAAAATAAAGTCACGTTTTAATAATCCAGTATGTAATTTCTGGTTTCTATGCAATTCAGATGCACTTTTAATAAGAGCAAATATGGCATTGGTGCTAGGTGAGTATGAGGACAAACAATCATTGTTATGATTTTGCTTTGGATTACTTTCCTAAATCTTTCAAATTTCTTACTATAAACCTAATATGTTCAGATTTATAGTAAGGATTTAGACATGTGTACATAGATGTTTGTACATATCTGTGATTTGAAGAAAGACAGAGTAACATGACTCATGGTGCAACAAGTTCAATTACTTAATTCACACATATTGATACATTCCAGTTCAGACAGCAAAAATATGTCATATCTGTACAACTATATGAAGTTAGAATACTGCCTCCTAGATTCAAATAGTTTCAAGCCAGGAAAGAAAACAGATCAGTTCCTAGCATTGGAGTTTGGCAGGCAAGCAAGTGGAACAGAAAACAGAGTTTTTCTTGGCCTTAGCTGTTTTTTTATGTCTTAATTATTTTAACTGACTTGTGTCTTGTTACATGCAAAATGTACTGGGGTAAATAAATGTACTGTCACTGGATTATATTTGTTACAGAACTTCCTGTCCAAGTAAAGTACGGTAGCCTTCCATGAGGGTAATGTTTAACATTTTGAATGCCCAAGTCTTTTTTTTTTTCACCTCTCAGAAAATAAATCAGCATAATTGTTTTTTCATACATATAAGTGGAGAACTACTGAACATACCTTTGGTCAAAAATCAAAAAGAAATTAGAATTAAACACACATAAATGTGCAAAATGTAGAGGTGGCAAAGATGATGAGAGCATTCAAAAAATCAAACAGCGCCTTCCGACAACATGTATCATATATAAACCTGCTGACTTGCTAAAGTATCAGTAAATGGTGACACCAAATATCTGGTAGTGAAGTAGAATATGAGACCAAACGTGATGGAGATTGGTAAGGCTGGTAAAGCTTTCTTGAAAATAGCCAACAATAACAGAGTCAAACACAATCCCTGCAAAATAAAACATACATTCAGGTAGAATATTTGATGCAAACTTCACAAGAACTGGCCCTGTCATATTCCAAGGAAGCAAAAGCTCATATTATCAAAACTTCACATGGTAAGTATTCAAAACAAATCGAAACAAGTCGCTGGAAATGACAATACATGAATGAAATCGGCCCAAGCATGCCTGAGAAACTGACATGGCGTTTTTTTTTATAGAAAAAACTAAATTAAGGTGTACATGTATACTATTACGCATTGTCTTTGTGCCTGCTTTGAACAAAATTGGGCAAGGCCTGCCCAAGAAAAGATATTGGACACATTCACAGATGGAGCCTATACCATACAAAACATAGTTTTGTTTTTCGTGCAAATTTTTTTAGGTCGGAATAGTAAAACATTTTGAAAGAGGTGGTGGGCATTTTAGTAAATGTGACCCCAAATTATGCAAAGTAAAAGGTGGGTACTTTACCGGATATGATACTTACAATGAGTATAGCAACAAAACAAGCAAGCGTTGTTGTCCAGTCACCGTAAGAAGAGGCTTTTCCAACAAGAACACTGTAGAAGATGAAATCACCTAATCCAAGCTTCACACCACCTACAGATAACGAGAAAGCAACAATACTGAGCTCCACAATTTCTTAGGAGCTGTAATACCATAAGTGCCCCTACTAACAAACTTGTACAGTCGTGAATTAGTTAGTACATCTTGAACACCAGGTGGGATTGAAAATGAATGTATTGGGATCAGAACTAAATTGAAATTTCAGGCAGTCATTGTGAGTATCATATTGAATTTTGCGCCTCACACATTTTTTCGCAATTTTGCGTTCAGGTAACATACAGTTTGTTTTCTATTTCAGAGGAGAGGAAGTCTGTTGATCTAAACCTTCAATGCATGTATTGAATAGCATCATTTAATAAAAATTTTGATTCATACGCCTATCACAAAACTTTAAAAAATACAAAAACAAATACAGACTAGCTTGTGAGCTGATATAGCTCTGCTGTTTGAGATGCATAATGAGAAAGGAATATCACATCAATCAGTCTAGCCATTTTCAAGATAAAAGGATGTTCACTAAAATAAGAATTGGTGTTATCAAAACTAAATGAATGAATCTGATAGTGGAATGAACCAAATCAATCTGACTGAGGTCCATCAAAGGTGTCTACATATAAACTATCAAAGCAATTGGGCTACCCATTTTCAATAACAAATCAAAAATAACAAATTTTACCAAAAATATTCACTTAAATTAAAGAATTGAAGGTATTGTTCTGGTTTTTAAGCAGAAGTCAAAAATGTAAAGTTGACGACGATGAACCACTATATCCTGCCTTTGTACTAACATTTAAACAAAATCTAGAAATGGGAAGGGAAAGTTTAATGGTCACCAGCTATAAGTTCTTATTGACAAAAGTTGAAATTCAACTCACGTTCTTCTTCTTCTTCTAAATCCAGAGTTGCGGTCGTGTCTCTTGGTCGTTCATTACTTGCTGATCGTCTCAATGCACTGGCGGCAGCTCTAGCATCTACAGATTCCACACTTTGTGTTCTTGGGTCAGTTGGTGTTTGTATGGGTTGACGATTTGACCAGTCTGTAAAACCACCCTCATCCAAATCCTCATTCAAGGCGTCATCTGCCATAACAATTAAATCTCTTAAGTCACAAATCATTACAATGTGTTGTCCATTTTTGTTATAAATTCTCTAGCCTTGTTTCAATCCCCCAAATTAATTATTTATAATAGACTGGGATTTATAGGGTGTGCAATTGACCATGGTGTGATGTGCGATAAAGATCCTGTTTATGACATGAAATCATCGTGGTGGATTGTATAAACATGAGAAAAACATTGATTATTGTTGAGTGAGAATGGTACATGTATTACATGTATAATTATTTACATCACTGTTCTAATACCTAAATATCTGATGCTGGAAAAAAAACTTAAAAACTGTTTATATTACATCACAGCTAACTGGTAAAAACATGCGGCTTCACATTCAATTCACTATGGCAACACATGAGGGCACATACTGCTGTTGTTTGATTTTGGCGATAGCGATATGAATACAGGTTTATTGGAAAAATTCTGCCAAGGTATAAGGGTGAGACAATAGTCGAATGAAATGAACCATGGCTGGCTGAGATGGACAGCAGCATATATTTTAAAATAGAACATGCTTGCGGTAATTCTAATGATCACACAGGTTTATTAAACTAATGTTCATACTCAGAAAGAACTGATTTTAAATTTTTATAATTAAATCAAGGAATAAATTAACCTAAAAGATAAAACACTGTAAACAAGCCATGCATGGCACAGTCCCCATTAGTTATCAAATTTAAGATGTATATTTTTGTTTATAGTTTTAATCAGTCAAAGCATGTCAAAGTGGCTCTCGAACCATATTCATTAAAACAAAATGACCGATTTGAAAAACAAATGACATGGACAAAATACTGTATGTTCCAAGTTTGAACAAAATCCATCCATAAACAACCGAGATCCGGTTCCGGAATGCCAGATTTTTGAGATGATTTGTTAGCACAAAAAATGGCCACCATAGGATAGGCATTCATGTGATCACAATCATCATAATCTCAGTAATTAATTATCATGCATATGAATATTAATAAGCAAGCTGAATGCAACATAGAATTGACAGCAAAGAGATAGGAAATGACAGTGAAATGGGAGTGACGTAATATGTTAATGATACCATATTTCCGCTATTAGAAGCACATGGGTCTAAAACATCAAGTCAGACAAAATGAATGTAAACATTCTTATTATTGTTAGCTACTGCAAACCATTTTCATTTTGCAGGACAAACCTTTTTTACAAGAATAACTACTTAAGTAATAAAACTGAAATTTGTCTTCTGATACAGGAAACATGGTATTTTATATCTACACAAGATAATTACAATACTAACAATTCACAAGTTAAAATAAAATAAATATTATAAAAAAAGGTAAAGTTAGAAAAACGATAGAGGGGTTAACACAGGTTAGTAACTGCATGCATACAGCCTGGCAACACTGCACAATGTATACCTATCAGTTGTTCCAACTTTCTTACCATGACGCTTACCAGGCTCCCTTATTGGTTGTTCAAGTTCCGTTTTTTTGTTGGACTTTTTCTTTTTCCTTTTTGGTCTCTGCTCGGGATTATTGTCGGCCATTCCTACTAACCAAACCATTGTGGCTAAAGAAATAATGAAGAAAAGAATATATCAATTTGAAAACTAGGGAATCTTAAATTTCATAAACAAATAGGTTTGTGTTATTGGAAACCTAAGTAGGTGAATGGTTTTTGCATTCAAAACATGTCTTGAGATGAAAATATCTGGATTTAGTACAGATTTGAACACACATATGAACCTCCTATCATAATGACCCCACGGCAATTTAGAAGCGATCACTTGATGTGTTACATCCAAGCTAAAAAGTGAAAACATAGGAACATTACATTTCAACTGAATTGTCAGAAATATCAAAAATATGTGGAGAAAATGAATAACTATCATCCACATATAGCAAATATAATATAGCATAATATAGCATATAGCATGTGCTATATTTATCAGCCAATTATGGCCACCCAAGCAACGACCATGAAGGTGAAATATTCGACTACAGTGGACAGTGAATAATCAGTGGAACAGTACTCAGTACTCAAGCTTATGAAGAACATTAATTCTATTGATCCAGTGGTTTTAGAGAATCAATCAAAGAAAGCTTAAAAAGAACTCCCATGTGCTG